TCGAGGGTGAGAAATCCGAATCTGGAATCAGGATTCCAAAATTCAGATCTCGAATCAATTCGTTCTATGAGAAGTGATGTTGAGAAACAGCAAGTACTTTGTAATACGTGACAGTAGTGTAATGAATCAAGAAATACGAAGATAAGATGAAATTAGAGTGCTTGTAGAGCAAAGATTGAGGAATGAGAGCGAGTTACGCAAAAAAATTATTTAGATTGACAGGATACAACGGCTGTGTCCACTTATTCAGAATATTTCAGATTATCGGTAAATCTATACTAACGTGTCCTCTTCCTGAATACTGATAAGCTTCCAAAGAAAATTTCTAATGTGGATGAATTTTTTTGTAAAGGATCAAACTTTCCATCAGTTTTTTAAATAGGAACGATGGCTCGATTTTGAAAATGGTATCAACCTTTCGTGAGTGAAAGTAGCTGGAAGTAGTGGATAGCCGTGAATGGCGTTCCTTCGGAAGGACGGCGAACGAATAGCTGCCTCTAAACTAGGTTTATTCAAATCTGTTTTACGACATTTCTGCATAACATCAAGCAAGGTCCTTAAAAGAGTGCCACAGAGACTTAACATGTGACATTTTATGTAGAGAAGGACTCCTATAAACATGGAGAAACTCGAGAGACGACACGTATATATTTAATAGATATCTTGCTGGATATAGGAAATCTAGTACCCTTTAGTTACGAGTAGAGCAGTTTTTGAAGCAGTCGAAATGTGGATTAGTCATGCCTTGAATAAGAAAGTAGTCATTTGAGAATATGTGTTCAAAGATAGTAGTAGCTAAGTGTGAATAGCGCCACGTCGGAACTCCGACAGTGAAATATAGTAGCTTCTGTTTCTGTTTCACAATTTTTTTGGTATGAGATATGGTCTATTAAGCTAGTTTTTTGTGTGAAATCATATACTTAAGCTTCTTTCGATGGCGAGCTCCATGAAATCTTAGATTGACTAGCTAGGTAAAGGATTGAAACGCATAAGGAATAGTTCACAAGTATTTTCACTTTGGGATTTCTCATGCGATAAATATAGGCAGCTTTGAAACTAATCCAAATCTAGAATCCGGTAAAATTTAAATAACAGTGCATGATTATATAATTACTGGAAGAGAACGATGCATAACAGCAATTAGTTGCGCGTGACGACCCACTCGGATGCCGACGAGTGACTAGCTGCTGCCCTAAAAAATCCTTTGAATAGAATTCTTTTAAACTTCTAATCCATTGGAAGGATCTGTAGCACTTAGATCTTACTAGGATTCATGGGAGGAAGAACTGGCAAGAGGGTTAACAAGTGTATTTGAATGAAGTGTGAGAACGAGTGTGTTGGAGATCTTCAATATCGGAATCGAACATTTCCTGAAAAGCGTCAATAATACAATTTGCATCGAATCATCAAAAGTGGACTTGAATGGAATTTAATAATCCTTTATCATCATAGATACGTCATCTGCCCATTGACTTGTCAAATTTTTTTTCCGGCTATTTAAAATTCGTTATTTAATCTCACAAAGACTCAGAGTTGAAGCCTGATTCAACTTGCGTATGCCGGATATTAGTTTGAACAAATATAGCTTTTTAGTCTGATAGCTACGCTAAACATGCATTTTCGTAGTGGGTACCGGTCAGCGATATTGCCCGCCTATGTGTTTATGAGTATGCGCATTATTAATACAGTTTGCGTGAAGTGTAGTGCATCTTTACTGCAGTCACGCTGATATTTTTTGTCTGCTGATTTTCTCTGAAAATCGAATATACTATTTTTTCGTGGCTTGAGGATATTGCTGTGTCAGTGTGGGTCACGTAGATTTCTTTTGAGTGTTATTGATAGAGTAACAGATTAAATGAACGAATGTTATAGCTAGCAGTATTACAACGGTACCAATAGCATTATACACGCCGACACATGTGTACACTAATGTTGACACTAGCACAAAGACATGTGCAAATGCCCGATGCTACCTTTTGCAAAATGTCTGCAGTAATAAACAACTGCCGATGCAGTGAAATATTCAGTCGAGGGTTAAGCGAGTCACACAGACGAGCGTTACTTGTTATTAATAAAATTTAGAAAGATTCTCATAGCCTACTATTCAATTATTCAGTTAATCGACTAAAAAAATGAATATGAATAGTCCTAGTGTTCCTACTTGCCCATACTGTGAGTAACGTAAAAATCGAATATCTCCCTCTAACCTAGCCAACAGCCGCTAATATTTTAACCTTGTTAATGTGACGGTGAGAGCTTTCATTTGATATAAAAAGGTTCAATGATTTTGCTTATCACTACAAATACCTCCATTGTAAATGAGATGTAACAATTTATATTTTTTACAATTGATTAAGATGTATAAAATGAATAAAAAAATAATTTAATTTTAATATTTAAATATTTTGTGTTAAAATAGCACTTTATTTTCAATTCAAACACTGTTAATTTAGATTTAAATCCTATCAATTAAATTACAAAGTTTTGTTTATTTCTAAGTTTTGTTTGCAAAAATCTAAACCTAAAGTAATTTGAATCAATTCTAGGACTTTCATTACCAAAATCTAATGATAATATCCGCCATTTATCTTCATATTATATAAAAAATTGCATCTCAATATAACATTGATAAAGAAAGAAGTTTTATGGAATCATGTAAAGGGTGTGGGTGTGGGGTGGGTGGGTGTGGGTGTGGGGTGGGTGGGTG